TGTTATTCTGTTGTTTCAAATGTAAACCAGCAATGGCAGCCATGGAAAAAATTATTAGGCTTAGCGGCACTTAAACAACTTTTAAATTGTTGATAATTCTAAAAATATTGCATACAGATTCATAGGCATAAAAACCTTAACCGGAAGATAAAAATAACATAATTCAATCATTCTTAAAGCAAAAAATGTACAATTTACAAACATATAAGAGTAAAGAAACTGAGATCACTGAGCCGGTACAGAGTGGATATATATATATATATATATAAATATATATTTTTTTTAAAGTTTTTATAATTTTTATATATTTTTTTAAACGTTTGGTGCGGGCGATTGCAAACAAAATACGAGGCGCACATCTACATGTTAGAGCAGTCCTATATACAAAATTTCAACGTTCTGAGGCTACTCGTTTTTGAGTTATGCGAGATACATACGTACGCACGCACAGACGCCACGAAAAATTCTGTTTAGAATTCTTTTAAATTACTTTTACAATTTTTTGGGGGGAAAAGAGTCCTCTATCCTTGTCCTTACGTACAGATGTCACGCAAGAATATCGTGTTGAATTGCATTCGATAGCGGTGAAAATGGATATTCGCGTTGAAATATGCTGCCTGAAACTTTTCGCGATTACAATACTTCCTTTTTTACTTCGTACAAGGAAGTAAAAAAGAATGATTTAAAAATATTTTAGCGTTTTTCTACGTATTGAGAAAAATATTTCAGCCTGAAGCAGATGGAGCAAAGAACGTTTAGTGTTAATCCAGAAGTCAAACAACAACGTTTAGTGTGTTTAATGACGAATTTTGCAATCTTGGTGCAGTTAATGATGAACTCTAGACATTTCATTTTTCTTATTTTAGTTTCAAGTTGACTTCGGTCTTCTTGTTCTTAGTTCTGTTATTTGTAACCTCTGTTTATAAGATTTTAGTTCATTGTCACTCTTTGCCTAGCCATCGGAAATAAATTTTAAAAAATAGCTTCAGATAAATTGTTCATTAAGTAACGTTGTTATTACATCCAGTTTTTTAAACTGAACATTAGAGCCAATTTCTTCATTCTGCGAATATGTTATTTTTTGTTTCATAATTTTGTTATTATTTATTGATTGTGATTTAATAATAACTAACATTTTATCATTGATACTGTGTATTTGAGGCAAAAAACTGTGGAAATTCAGATACACAGTCTCGCGTGCTGGAAATTAAAAAAAAAAAAAAAAAAAAAGTTCGTACAGTGTTGCCATTGCATGCTATGAATTTGTTAAGTTTCTTAATCAAAATACTCATAAATGGTTTATAAAATATGAAAGTGATAATAAAACAAATTCCATATTTTATATTCCAGATCCTCATATTCAGGCTGAAACTTGCGTTATTCAAAATTCTATGGCTCTAGGTAACCTTATTTTATCACAGTGCGAGAAACATACATTTATGCGGATTATTCATTATTTAGTTTCTTTAAATATAACGCAGGGCGATAATAGTCGGTGGCAACAATCTGAAAAGTGAAACGAACATTTAAAGTTTACAACGCAAAACGCCAAAACGAAATTAATGGCTCCTCTGGGCTAAGGTCTTTTGGGCTAAAAAAAGTTTTTAAATAATAAGCTATACTTTAAAATGAATATACTCTTTAATGCAGTTAAAGGAGAAAAATAATGTGTCACATAAGTTTGATGGAAGTAATGGATTGAACAATTCTATGTATAGAATTCACCTACAGTTTTATGTCGCAAATAATAAAAGCCTAAATAACCAAATCTATTATCTTAATTGCATTATCACACGAATAAGCAATTTTCTTTTTAAATTTATCATGCGGTTTCTTGCTTTTATAATTCCATATATAAAATTATAGATGAATTCTGTAAATAAAATTATTTAATTTATTTTTCCCATTAAATTATATGATACATTATTTCTCCTTTCAACGCATTCATTATCATATCTCTTTTAAATAAAAGCTTATTGTATAAAAGCTTTCCTTTAGTTGTACTTAATTAAAGTATGCGGATTATTATTTGCTTTCACAAAGCAGGAGACTGCGCAAGAAAATTAAGGGCAATTCTAAATATTCTTTCAGAAAACAAAATTCAGTTATGAAAGTCGCAAGCAAGAAAATTAAGTTATTTTTTTATGTTAGAAAGAAGAAGTTTATGTTAGAAAAGACTGGTTTGAAAGAATGTTTTTCTGGGTTCCCCACCCCCCTCACTCCCATTTGTTTAAAGGGCGTCAACCCAGAAGGACTATTAATTTTGCTTTGACATTTTTCGTCGATCCACTTTCTGATTCACTTTTCAAACTGTTGCCACCAAATATCAAAGCCCCGTATTATATTTAAAGAAATTAAATAATGAAGAATCTGCATAAATATATGTAGTATGTTTCTCGCACTGTGATAAAGTAACGGTCATCAAATTTTGAATAACGTAATTCTCAACCGAATATAGGCATCTGTAAGCACTAATTTTATTTTTTTCTATTTTGTTTTATGATCTATTTCATATTTTGTCAGACATTAAATAATTCTTGATTAACAAAGTCAACGATTTCCAAGCGAGGAATTACAACACTGTACGAAAACAAAATTTTGTCTTCAGCGCTATGTATCGGGAATTCCAAAGATAGGCTCATTTTAAAATTATTTTGAGATATTGCTGTTGAATTGAATTTTATAGTTTAAGAGCGAAGAATTTAGAGAGCGAAGAATTAAGAGCGAAGAATAAGATATTTAATAAATTAAGGTAACACACGAAACGTTAAAAAAAGTCCCTTTGGGCGTAATGTAAAAGCTAGGAACCTAAATTATTTTTTTCGCTTTTTTCCCCCTGTCTTTTCTCAGTTGATAATATAAACGTCCAGGTTTCTTACTAAAATGGCTGTGCAAAACATTTTGCCTTTTTTATTATTAAAATTTTCTATGTTTACTTTATTTATTAAATATCCCATTCTTGGCATTGCGCCACATAAAATCCGATCCTACGGCAAAATCACAAAATGTTTAAAATCATCATATCTTTATAATTTTCAATATACAGTCTCGCCTGTTTGAGAAAAAAATGTTTCATACCTCACCGTGTTCCCACTGCTGACTTTGAAATCGTTTAATTTATGTATCAAAGTTTTACAAAATAGGAAAGAGATAATAAAACAAATTCGAATTTCAAAATTCGGACTTCCAGGTGCCCATGCTTAATGGAGGACTATTATTCAAAATTTGATGGATTTAGGTACCTCTGCTTTTTTTTTTTTTTTTTTACATTTTTAAACATACGTACATTCATGCAGATTGTTCATTATTTAATTTCTTTAAATAGGGTCGATAATATTTGGTGACCACAATTTGAAAAATGGTAGAACACATCTAAATGTTTGGACGCAAAATGTCATTCGGAACAAACGTCTATTTTGGGCTAATAATTGCTTAGATTTTTAATTTAACAGCAAAATGATATATGTATGTCATATGCCTCAAAAGCATCCACGTCAAAGAACAGATAAGAAAAAATTAATTAATGTTATTGTAGGAAACACTAATGTAGGATCAATAGGAGAAAAATCATTACCAAATTTCGTACATTTACATTTCATGGATCACCAAAATTAGAGTCATATCTCGTTGGCCTAAAGCTGTACTAAAATACTAAGAATTCGAATCTGATGCGATCTCGGTAGAAACGGCTATGGTTTGGTTTTGTGGTTTATATTGTATATTATGCGAACAGGAGACATTTTTTTCATAGAAAGTCCTCAACGAAGGCTTCCCTCGCTTTAGAGAGGTAGCACTTTTAGATATTTGCGAATGAAGATAAGCACGAAAATTCCCACTCGTAACCCGGTCGGAACTACCCGTATTCAGCGGTCTTACTATCTAGCCGCTCAGAGTCGAAAGCGAGTGGAAAAAAAAAATTAGGATTAATAATAAAAAAAATCTTTATTCATAAAAATTATTCATCGAAAATAATAATAATAATAAATAAGTAATGAGTGAAAAATTGAATTATAATAAACTTAAATATTTAAAAAAAAAATCGGAAACCACTGACTGGAAATTTAGATTAAGAGGAAAAATATATATTTCAGAGAAAGATATAAAAATATCTGTTAAGCTAAATGGAAAATAATTTATGTAAATGGCCACTTGCTTGGACATAATGAATGAAGTTCAAATGACATTTCTTCGGTATCTGCAGAATATTAAATCAACATACAGAAATTAATTGCAAGCATGTGCTACGTATTTCTGACGGCAACGCGTAATAAAATGTTATATGATTTCATATAATATGCTACCAAGACCCTAATTAAAGTAAAACACGAGATTCAAACAGGAGCAGACTCAGACTCCGGCACCGTAATGCACGAATCTATGTCCTGGTTGAACAGAATTAAACAAATGTTACGGCACACGAGGGACATGTAAAGAGTTCGAGCGACACAGGATCATAAAATTCGCAGTAATAATAAAGCCGCCCACGACACTGCGTCCTACCGGCGACAGAAACATGAAAAAGTGACCACAAAGAATCGTTGCATCCGATCGAACTGCGTACTCCGCCCCGGGGGGGTGACAGCATTCGTTTTTAATGATGACACTATTTAGCCTTTGAAGCAGAGGGGAGTTGTTGAAACAACAACTAGACATTCGGATCGTCACATTACTCATCTGCCCGAAACCACAATAGGTCGAGAACACCGAAACCACGCCGCAGGAAAAAAAGAACCGCTGGCGACGGTTCATAAAAGCGCGCAAAATTCGCTTGTCAGACGCAGTAGTCACGTGTATGTTCGCGGGCACCTCTCCGCACGACAGGCAGGGCTAGAAAAACGCGTGGGCGATCGTAGCCGGCGAATAAATTCTGGTGTCTTCCCGTCCTCCTCCCCCTGCTGACCTTTCCCGACGAACCAATAACTGTCGAGTTGCGCGCGCTTTGGTTGAGGGAAAATCGGCACACGGCGCTGATCTGGCGCGAGAGCAGGAGCGGACGAAAACCTCCCGGACGATACTAGCCGGACGCTGTACTCGAACTCATTCTCTTTCGTCGTCTGCTGCCGATATTATAAGATACCTACCGCCTTGCTTCGCTGCACCCCCCAACCCTCTAGCACCGTCTTTGTTACAACCCTGGATTTTTAGACCATGAACGCGTGAATTTGCTTACACCTGTTTGATTGAGCCGAAACAAACAAAAAGAAAAAGTACCGAAAATTTGGGAATTTGGACTTAGCTAGTCGTTAAAAAAAAAGTTTAAAAATATTTATAGACGCAGCTGTGCCAGAATGACGTTGCTTCCGCTTCTGTTCACTACTGGACTGCTACTGCTGACGACGGCAACGACGGCCCGCGGGCAGTATGAAGACAACAGCAATAGTAACTCTTTACGAAAAAGCCACCACAGTAATTTTTTCATGGCGCTGGCCCCTTCTAACCAGATGTACCACAAAATGCAGCAACAGCAACAGCACAACAGGGTTGCTGATCCATTGGAGACGACCGATGCGAAAAGCTCGAAATCCGTCGGAGGGCCACCTGATGACAACCAGTACAGAATTCCTTGGATTGAGATGATGCCCCGGCGCGAATCCAGGAGCAGAAGAGTGAAAAAACTTCCTCCGCCAAACGGTGGACACGTTCAACCCAAGCCGAAGGCCAAGACTCAGATCCCTGTAGACACACACCCTACATCAAGAGAAGCTAGAGGACGAGACAACAATCGCTACGATGTACCCTTAATTGGTAAGTTCTCACCTACTTCCTTCGCGATGGGATGTCCCTTTTTTCTTGCTTTGCTCGACTCATGGTTTCTCAAACTGGCGATACATGTACCAATAATGGTACATTACATTATTTTAGATTGGTAGAACTTATACACAAAAGATTTAAATGAATGCTAAATGGCGCCCCCTTTCGTACGTATATTGGTACATGGTGATACATGTATTTTTTCCTTCTTTATGTGGTAAAAAATTTAAAAAGTTTGAGAATCCCTGACTTAGTTCGGTCCTTGAAACGAAAATAGACTGCCATTTGTTGCTTTGTTTACGTTACTAGGTTGCTATTTTTTCCCCTTTCGAAGCAATTTTTCCCTTTCCAATGAATTAGTTCAACCGTGAGTTTTACTACCATTACGTGTTTGGTAGTATTTTTGACATTTATTTTCCATGCAGTTTGTGTGTGTTAAAAGGCAAAATATTTTCGGTGGAATTTTCGAGGACAGTTTTGCACTATACTTAATGGGACACGGAACGTTAAAACAAAAATGTTCTTATTTAGTCTTTGTTCAAAATTTAAAACACAATTTTTAATTTTTGTTTAAAATTTAATTTAAATTTCTTTTTTTGTTGTTTAAAGCTTCTTAGAACTATGCACATTATCCATGCTTTTTTCATAAATATGTAATTAACTTAACAGTGGCAGAAATAATACATTAAAAAAATTAAAATAAAGGTGTACATTTTCACGCTTTTAATATTTATATAGTCCGTTGAGCATAAAATTTAATCAGAAATCTACACTATATTGCGTAATCAATAGACACAAAATGGCAAATGAATTCAAAACAAAAAGGAAAAATTGCACTGAAAAATATATTATTCATTGAGTTTTACACGTATTGTTAAAACTTTTAATTCTTCATTATTTTGGAAAAATGACTGATGATTCCTGGAAAAAAATTAAAAATACTGAAATTCACTTTTAGATCCCTTTTGATTAGTATCAGGATCATGTGAAAAAAAATGAAAACGCTTTGATAAAAATTAAGACACAAGGGATAATATAAAATTCCAAAATTTTAAAAATCTTCAATGTCGTTCAAGAGGCCCTTAAATGCCCAAGTCTGGCGAAGAATATAAAGTTCCGAAGTTTTGCAGGAAACTTGCAGATTTGAATATATCTTCCCCTCGAAATGTCCCATCTAGAGCTAAAACTCGGGTCACAGTTAAATTTGAACAATTAATAAAACACTAGTGTAATTGCAATAGCAAAATGAACGATGTGAATAAATTAAGGCTTCTATAATCCATAAAAATCCAGCCAAACAAACGTTTTGCTTTTCAGTTTGCATATTTGAATAGAAATTAGTTTCATTTCTGAGTTGAGATTCTTTGCAAACTTATTAAATCCGTTCTTCATTCTGTTTTCAAATATATCGCAATGGACGTTCAATTCTTTGAATATTTTCTAATGAAAATTTGAATAAATCTAATTTAATTAATACTTCGAACAAGAGAGTGCACAACTTATAAAAAGGGTTCCGTTTTTCCATATTTCTAGAACGTTATGTTCTTCAGTAACCTCTTTAGTGTTCGAATTACATATTATACGCTTTCATATTTTTCGCCTTTTTACATATTATACGCCTTTATGCAAATTTTACTTATTTCTCAATAAATTTCTAATTTTGGAAAGAGTTCAGGTAAACTACTTAGAAAAATGAATTCTATAAAAGGCATTTCGTTTCTACTTAAAACATGTTTTCCAACTGATCTCAAAACATTTTATTCAAAGACAAAATCATAAGCGGTTCTCAGAATGCATCAATTTTCTTTCGCAAACACGTTTATGGATTGCGACAATCATTTGAGTACCGATTCCACTTGTTGCAGTCTTCCGAAGATGGCGGATTCACGTTTTTGTGTTTTGCAGATAGTCCCCAAATACCTACGGAGCTTTAATTTTTTTCTTATTATTTTGTTAAGCTTTAGATTGTTTATTTAATATTTTACATGGAATCCAGATTTTTTTAAATTGATTCTACAAGAATTTTTATTATCAAACGAAAATACATTGCGTTCTGTCATTTTTTGCTCCGCATAAATTCAAACTGCTCGTAAAGGAAGCTGCAGCGCATTTTTGAAATTCTTCGTTTTATTTTTGACTTTAGAAGTTCAGTAACGTGAATAAATCATGTTTTCGAACATATACCGCAGTTTTTCATGACGGAAAGTTTTAAAATGTTTTCGTTCGGTATTGATGTTGTACTCTGACTGCAGTAATTTTAAAATTTTATACAAATTTGTTTTATTTTTTCTTATAGCTGCTCTCAGTGAATCAATTTAAATAAAATTTTTAATAATTTTTCCTCAACAGCCAGAATTATTATATTTTATACAGTGATATTTATAACAATGCTGCTTGAATAAATTACTTTTCAGAATACCCAAAATATTGTAGTATTTCAAAAATATTTAAAACTTCAAACATTCAAAACCAAAAATTAATTTATTAATAATAAATACAGAAAGAATTATACTATTTTAATAAAACACTTCAGAAACACTATATTATTTTGATAATATACATTCTGTTTTTTTTTAAACCTTAATTTGTAGTGTCATTATTTTCGTTATCAGTATCACTTTTCGTTGCCATTATTATTGCTTTTTCCATATCTTAGTCAAAAATAATTGGTCAGAAAAATAAGTCATCCATTTGAATCACTAATTGCACGATTGTTTTAAATAAAGGGAATCTTTCCTATAACTACCGAAGATATTAAATGATTTTAACCTCCTGTAGCGATGGTCATTGTAGAAGGGAAATGTTCAGTACTGATATTTATTTCTGTTCTCGGAAATACAGGTCATTTTCAACTGTAGTCATCTTAAATAAGATTTCCGCCATGAAACCGTTCACTTTAGTTGGTACTTGTAAAAAAGTAAGGAATTAAGTTTAAAAAAAAAAAAAAAAAATAATCCACCACTTTTAGTCCGAAGGTCGTTAGATCAGAATTTAGTTTTGACATTTTGTGGCGTTTCAATATAAACAGCATTTCACTTTTCAAATTGGTACCATAAAATATTCTCACTCTCTACCTTATTTAAAGAAATGAAATAACGAAGAGTCTGCATAAATATATGTATGTTTCTTGAATTGTGATAAAACAACGGCACCTAGAGCCATCCAGTTTTGAATAAAGTACGTCTCCACCCGAATATGGGCATCTGGAAATGCAAGTTTGGAATTTGTTTTATGATCTATTTCATGTTTTGTAAAGCAATTATGAGTTTTGATTAAGAAACTCAACGATTTCAAAGCGAGCAATGGCAATACTGCACGGGAAAAAACTTTTTTTTTATCTCCCGCGCACGAGACTCTGTATCGGAAATCCTAAAGATATGCTCTTTTCAAATTATTTTGGGATACTGCTGTTGAATTGAATTTTGTGATTTAAGTGCGAAGAACATGGTATTTAATAACTAAAGGTAACACACGAAACGTTAAAAAAAACATTTGGGTGTAATATAAAATCTGAAAACTTTCATATAGTTTTAATTTTGTTGTTCTAATTTGTTGTTATTGTCGTTTTATCATTATTTATTTTTTATATCATGGTCATTTTTGTTTTCATTATCAATACTTTATTCTCACTTTTTTGATAAAAAATAATAAATCATTTATTGTTGCCAATAATGTTTTGCGGAACATTTCCATTTAATTTAAAATAAAATAGAAATAGAAACTACAGAAAGTTAGTCAAAGTATAATTTTTTTATTTATTAGCAGACTGAAGATGTCTATGCAGATCTATCTATGCAGATAAAGTCATTACTGAAAAAGTCTGTATTGAATTTGTACTTTGAATTCAATATTTTTATATGAATTAGTATACATTTCTTCCTAAATTAATTATTTTATTATCAGCGGAGGAAAGTTAAAGTGAGATTGATTTAGGAAGATTAATACAGTTATAATATATGTTTATAACAAACTCCTGCATATAATGAATGCTGTTATAACAAACAGCTGTTTATAACAAACTCCTGCATATAATGAATGAGTTTTCCAGTACGATTTCCTGTATTTTTAATGCTGTATATGGTTATTATTAGCATTCCAACGTATAAAAATCGGATATAGAGATCTGGAAGTCTATCTTCTAGTAAATTTTATTTTCTTAGCCCAAAGGGGCTATTAATTTCGTTTTGGCATTTTGCGTTGATTGACTATAAATGTCGGTTCACTTTTCAAATTGTTGCCACCAAATATTATCTCTCTGTGTTATATTTAAAGAAATAAAATAATGAAGAATCTGCATCAATGTATGTATGTTTCTCGCACTGTGATAAAACAACGGTACCTGGAGCTATCCAATTTTGAATAACGTAATCTTCCACCGACTATAGAAGTTGGAATTTGTTTTATTATCGATTTCATATTTTGTAAAATTTAAGCGAATTTTTGATTAAGAAACTCAAGATTTCAAAGCGAGCAATGGCAACACTGTACGAAAAAAATAATATTTTTATCTCCAGCGCGCGAGATTGTGTATCGGAAATTTTAAAGATAGGCTCATTTTAAAATTATCTTGCGATATTGCTGTTGAATTGAATTTTACGGTTCAAGTGCGAAAAACATGATTTGTAATAAATAAATATAACACACAAAAAGTTAAAAAAGCGTGCTCTTTGGGCGTAATGTTAAATCTGAAAGCTTTCAGTTTTGTATTATTATTTTCATTAGTTTTTTAAAAACGTTTTTGAAACTTTTAGCTGAAACTAATAGCAACTCTTAAAATCATCCTTTATTTTAGGCTTCTAAGATGATCACATTGCTGTTCTTTACCCGCTTCTCTCTCTTCTTTCTGAACTGAGGTTATGAAAGACAGATCTTTTATCTAATTATTGGAAACTCAGGACGTATAATAAGCACATCTTAAGGGTCATAATGTGTTACGAAAATGAATATGCTAAGTTATAAATGAGTATTTTAGAGCGAGCTTTATCTTATTTACT